CAGCTCTATTGGCTAGTTACAATAGACTTTGCATTCAGTTGTCTGTTGTCATGTTAGGAAAGTAATTGTGTTTGCTGGGACACATGCACAGCCCTGCTTGTATAAAGGAGAGTCACAAATGCTTGCACTTCTCATTTGATTAGCTGCCTGCATTCCAGAGCTCTGGCCAAGGTTTCTGTCCTGCTAAATTAGGGCCAGAGTTTGATACCCTTACTCATGACTAAATTGTACCTCACAGCATTAGTAATCCCGTTGTATTCGTAGAGTAAGTGAGTTAAGGTATCACAATCTGGCCTTTACTAAGTACAGTGTCCCAGTCCATGTACAGCAACATTCAGCGCATATATTGACTTTCACTGGGAAGAGACCAATATGACTCAATCGACAAAAACCTCTGACATTTTTGCACAATGGATCATCAGATCAGGGAACTTTATATGTATATGAAATGGCTTTTAAAAATACATATTTTCTTCAAGCAATAGAAATGATGCAACAGTTTCCTTAACAGAAATGGTGCCAATCTTCAATCTATCCATCCACAAAGCTAATATTCAGACTGAAAAAGACTCATACAGGTCAGCATTTGTGCAAAAAAACAGGTTTATAAACCGAAACAGAAATGCAATAGAAATGTTTTCATGATTGCCTTTTGTTTCAACTGCATAAGAAAACAGCTTTTGTTTAAACAAAAGAGCAGAGTTTGCCATCCTAACATTGAAGCATCCTGCATGAGAATCAGAGAGTGAAATTGACTAGAAACAGACCAGCTACCTTTGTAAAACCAACCAGTTTATCATTCTCCAAGGAAAGAGATGTGCACAGGGAAAACACAGGAAAAATGGTGAAAGGGACATGAGTTTTTCAAAATGATTTCTATTTTAATAACCTGTGCTATTACAAGTACCAGAAGTGTATTACATTTAAAGAGACATTTGTAATACAAGTAAGGATTCTTTGCTTTTATCCTCAGCAGGTGTAAATTAATGTAGCTCAACTGATTTCAGTGGAGTGCTGCTGAGGCACACCACCTTGGAGTCTAGGAGTCCTAGTCTAGACCAGGACCCCAATGTGCTAGGTGCTGACCTGTTACAGCCCAGAGAAATCTCTTATTTTTCTCTCCTTTTCACTCCCCACACTTCAGCGCCTCATATCACAGTCACTATCCTCCTTGCTAAAGACGACTTGGCAACATCTTCAGAGCGCAGCAATATTGCTCCTTAATTTGCTGCAGAGTGACACGGTGCTCGCCTCCCTCAAGTTGGAGAACAGTTTCCTCAGTTCTTCCAGACAGCCAAGGGAGTAAGAGATGAGATATTCCCTCCTAAACAGCAACTACTTCCCTCAGCCCCCCCCCCCCCGCACTCCACTACTGAACAACAGAAATCTCTGCCAGGTGATTTGTGCAATTGTGAAGGTCCAGTCCAAGGATTTGGAGTACAGGGAAGAAACCACACTACCACTAGATGGCAGTGTAAGCGCTCACATCAGAGAGACTATCAGAAGGCCATGTGTCAGTATAATAATGCCTGCATCTGTAATTTTCACTCCATGCATCTGAAGAAGTGGGTTTTTTACCCACGAAAGCTTATGCCCAAATAAATCTGTTAGTCTTTAAGGTGCCACCAGATGTTTCTGTGGATACAGACTAACACGGCTGTCCCCTGATACTTGATCAGAAGGACAGGTACCTTAACAGAAAAGCTAACAGATATAAAAATAAAGTGATTGTTGGATATTTTATGGTCCATTCCTACTATACTGAGGATGTGTGAACCTTACGCCAGGGAAAGAAATATATAATCTAGCTATACACTCTCTCACTTTCTCTCTCCCTTTCCCCACTTTGCGTTTTGAAAAGTCCCTGTAGATACATTCTTAAATGAATACAAAATGGAGTGGAAAAGAGAAGAAATTATATATCTATATCTATATATTGCAGTTGCTCTGAACATGCTGTAATTTGTAGTCACATCAGACACCAATTTAAGCTTTGTTGCACTGAACTGATGTCACATCCTACTTTGCCTTTCATTTAACTCCCACCCCCCCAAAAATACCTGAATAATGTAAAAAATACATATACGTGTATTCTGTCCTTTAGAGGAGTGAAACGCACAGACACGCAAAAGCCAATGTATCGTGTGCCTCTGCTGACTGCTCTGTCTCTTCTTTCCAGTGGTCAAGGTTCCACCGGGAGAAGATCTGAATTCTTAAACCTTCTTTAACCTAGATTGTTCCATCTCCACAGCTGCAGCGTAGTCTCCAGGGCGTAGCCCATTTTAATTTTAAATGACACAAGCAACTGGCTTTCCATCATTTCCTTTAGGAGGCTATTCCATGATCCCGCAGACTTCACTGTTAGGAAATATTTCTTTACAGTAAGTCTAAATTTTCCATTGCTCTGTTTAATCCCATTACTCCTAATTATGCCCTTTTGAATCATTCTTCCTCCTTGGCACTTACTCCTTTCGCTATACTCATGCTCCTAGAGCATTCACAACAGCCCTTGGAGCGCCTGGTTTCTGGCTAGTGATGGCAGGGTCATCTCATGATGCTGAGGTTTACTACACGATCTCGCCAAGGGCTAAATGCGCTGCTGGGGTCTAGGACAAAACCAAGAGATGGGCTGCAGAGTAATGCAACAACTGGTGCATTTGCTTTGTAATCTGCTCTGCCCCTGATCCTATCCCCCCCCCCCCCCCCCCGCCTCCTGCATGATGCCTTTTTCGCCTTTGGTATGTGTTTGTTTGCATGGGTGTGAATCTATTTGACAGTGAAATGCTGATCAGCGGAAACATCTCAAACAATGCCGTGAACATTTAAATCTCCCAGATGATTATGTACCAGATTCAGTGGCTAATTTAACTCCATGCAGCTCCAAACTATCCAATAGACTTTGTCTTCCCCTAGCTAGACTGCTGTATTTCACCAATGTGTCTGCTCCTTAGTCTTGGCATGAGGCCCACATTACAACCTACTGGTAATGTTGAAAGCACCCCCAGCTGAGGTATAGAAGGCAGACATGGATTGTTCAGTCACCGAGTGGAAGGCCCAGCAGTAACCAGCTTGTGCTCCACTACCCATGACCTACAATAGACACAGAGCACGGGAAGTCCCGCCTCAAGGGGTCTGACAGAGAGCAGCCTCATGGCTCCTGATTGGATCCCCATCCTATATAAATCTAAGGGGCATTCCAGGAAGCGTCCAGGCAACTGTGTGGATCTCCTGCAGCTGCCATGACCATTCCTGCACTCTGCTCTTGAACTCCTGGCTTGAATTGGACCTGAAACCTGACTCGGACTCTGATTCTTGATATCTACCACAGCCTGGAACTTGACTACAAACTTCTCTGCTACTCTCAGCCTCAGATTTGGCCCTACTCTAACTCTTGGTCCTGACTGCCCTTGTTAGGTTCTTAACAGTTTGCTCATACCACCCTAACCCGTGATTAAGGCCTGCCCTGGGAGAGCATGGAGGCAGCTGGCCGTTCCCTGCCCAGCATGCCCCAGAAGATACTGGAGATGCCTCAATGGTTGGCCACCCCCAGGAGGAGCTCCTCATGCTGCAAGACCAAGTGTCACAGCTCCCAATGGAGAACCAAGCTCTGTGCAGGCAATCCATCCAGTTCCATGATGAAAACATGGCACTGCAGGCCCCACTGGTGCAGCACGCTGCAGATAACCAGATACTATGAGAGCGGTGGCCTGGCTGCAGAACGAGAATGCTGCTCTCTGGGCACGCACTGCAGCTGTGTACCCAGACCCCTCCCAGAACATTTTAATAGGGACTGCCAAAAATTCAAGGGTTTATTAACCAATACCATCTGCTGTTTCTGCTCTGCCCCTGGTCCTACCCCACCATCAACCGAGCAAAAGTAGGACTCATTATTTGCTTCCTGATAGGAGAAGTATTGGACTGGGCCTAAGATAGATAGTGTATCATCATTCATCAGCCAGATGATGAGCTTTGTTCCTATACTTGGCATTGTAAAATGAATGATGTAGCTAACTTTAATGGTATCCCAAAGATCTCAATACCTATTTAGCAAGGTCCGGTGACGATTCCCATCACCTTTCTGTTTAAAAAGCTGGTGGAACCAGATACCTCCATGTTCTCCTGAGCTGCTTTTTTCCCCAAATAACTGTACTATTGAGTACATTCCTAAAGATGGTACAAAAGCAATGGCTAGGCTCTAATGAGATCACAGCATTGGGATCACTTACTATATACTATCTTAAGCCAATGATGACTGGGTCTGATTAATTACCTATGCAATGTCTGAAATGGAATCAAGCCAAGAGTGCTGTAGTTCAATCATAAGGTATGTACAAAATAAACCGCATAGCTCACTGAGTAGCATGGAAAAATTATTTCATCTTGAATGCAGTGCAAACCCAGCCAGGCTAAACATGGACTCATTTGATATCACCTATTTTTAACCATTAGCCTCGAGACTAACCAGCATAGAGAGAGTCAACATGATCCAGTGGACTGAGCACTGGCCTGCATTCCAACCCCTGCTCTCATGAACTCAGTGCGGTCATGAGCAAATCACTTAACAGTAATGTGCCTCAGTTTCCCAGTTTCTAAACTCGGACTATAATAATGTCTAACACTTTCAGGCTAAAAAAACTTCACTGTGACACATCTGTGCTAAGTCAATGAAATGATAGATTTACATTTGATTTGCTTTGAGTCACTTGCAGTATGTCTTACTTGCTAGATAATTTGCCCTCTTCTTTTGGCTCCTGGAGAGTGACTCTTTACTGGGTTCATATCTCTCTAGGGAAGACAGACCCTCAAGCTTCCTCTCCTTGCCATCCAAGCTGCCACTGATGCTGGCAAGAATGACCTTGGTCAAACTGGGTTGATTTAACTTATATCAGTGGGTTTGCACAAGAGCTGGGGATGACCCCTCTTTTGTGATCGGCGCAATCAGAGACATGGCAGCAGAACAGCTGAGATCACCCAGGAACCAAAATAAATCAGAGACTCACAGCGCTTGCCCACAGCTGAGTCATAGGCTGTATCTGGCACTTTAGAGGTGGGCGTCTTACTTTTCCCGGAGAGCTTCACTTCCTGTACGAGAATGAGAACAGTCTGAGCTGCTAGCTGAACAGTTACATGTCCATAAACAGATTTTAAGAACCTTGCTAGGCACTGGCATGTATGGAAGGCAATCAGACCATTAGACCATAGGGTATATTGTCCCATTGTGGTTCTGAGAGACCCACTGCATATTACACTTTGCCGTGCCATCGTCAAGCCCAAATTGTTTTATAATTAGGAGAGTGCACCAGCCCCAGAGAGCTGACAGTGTCTTGATTCCAGGCACGTCTAACCAGCACTAAGGATTCCACTCCATTGTTATAGATTCACCAAAGTATGCGCCAGAGCCACTTAACCCCCAGGGTAACTCAGGTCACCAAATAAATCCCCGGTTTATTCTTAATTTTGGCCTCAGTTATGCCCCCCGTATTCACACGAAGTAATAAATCACTCCAGGAGTAGTCCCACTGGTTTCAATAGCATATATAGTGAGTAAGGTACTACTCCATGCAAGTAAAGAGATCAAAATCTGGCCCTTGGCAATTGTATCCCTTATTTTTTAGCCATTTCCAGAAAGGTTTCTTTGCCTATCAACCCGAAGTCCTGGGCAATGTTTTGCCAGCTTTTTGAAGATCACCTCATTGTCTTATCTTTCTGACCGAGGTAAGCCCATCCCTTTCTTTAACCTGTCCCTACAGCACGTAGATTTCTCATGCCTGGAATTATCTTTGTTGTCCTTTGTTGCCTCCTCAGCCACGGAATCCTCTCCTCCCTGTGGAATCGCAATCACTACAGCGGTGCTACATGCTGTTCCAGATGGGGTCTCAAAAGGGCCTCATCCAGCAGTACTATGGCAAGTCATCTACCTTGATGCTAATGACTAGCAGTAGTATCTTGTTTGACTCCCTTCATCGGGCTTACGGGTTTGTGCTTCATCCCCACCCCCTCCTCCAAAGTGTCAAGGTGCATTAACTCCCTTCTTCCAAGACTTTTTGATTTACAGTTGATTCCGTCACTGTCTCTGCTGCCAAGAGCTGTAGAAAACAGGGCAAGCAGCTCTCCTGTCTTTGTTGGTTGGTCTCAGAAAGAGTATGCACAACGAGATCCAGTACAGCCTCAATTCTGTTACTGTCATGGGGGTACTCTGAGTGCGTTTGTGTGACTGTGTTTTCTGGATCGGCCAAGGATTTTCAGTGTACTTAGTAGACGTTGGGGCACGTGCCCCTTGTTCCTGGTAACAGCCAGTTTGAAATCACTGAGGCCTGGATGGCCTAGGCTGAGCTGTGTTTCAGGGTCAGAAGGATGCGTGTTTAGATTAGGAGGCTGTGGAGGAGGGGACTTTGTCTCACAGTGGATTTGTACACTCTGCAGAATAGGGTTCAAATTTAGTTTAAACTACAAGTGGAAATGAGTTTGTTCTCACCAGTGGCTGTTTCCTGGCTCTCCTCAGTGTTATTCACTGGTCACATGAATTGGTGCTAAAATCTAATAAATTTCCCTTTACACACACCACCAATTACTAATGAAGGGCCAGATTCTGCCACTATTACTCCCATGAAGTAGTACCCTACTCCAGAAGTCGTTCCATTGAACCCAGTGGGGCGGCTCATGGAGCACATAAGTACAGGTGGCAAAAACTGGTCCACAGGAAACATGGTGTGTGCTTGGGAAGCTGCTAGTGTGCTTGTTTCGCACAGCAAGCACTGTGAGTAATAAGAAAGATGGTGTAAGTGAACATGCAGAGAAGCCAGTGTTGCGTGCATTAGGCTCTGCTCTTTGTCTCCTAGCCACACCTGGGAGCAAGCCCTAGACCTATTTTTCTGAGCATCTAGTCTCACACCAATATCTGTCCCTCCTGAAACCTGATCTCCTTTCCTCAGTTCCGCTCACCATTCTACAGTAGTGCTTCCCTATCACATTGACAACCACTGGCATTTCATCACCTAGTTCAAAGGCAGCTGGGTTCCGTCCTGAATCCCAAAGGGAAATACATTTCTTGGGAGGTTTGGAAGAAGAAAGTTCACCAACCTTTCTGGCTGAATCCTTCCCTGTGGAGGTTGCAGCACTCCATTGTTGCCTCCTGCTATTGCTCTGGGATGACGAGAAGGACAATTCAGTCCAGGGTTTAGCTCCCTGGGTCAGAGGCTGGGTGGTTGTCACTATGCTGGACTCCATTTCACTCTCCCTAAAACTGCCACTGAAAGATGCTGTCTGCTGTGTAGCAAAAGGGAAAGCCGTAAGCTGTGAAGTGGGAGCAGCTTTACCGGTGTTGAAGCTGGTCTGAAGTCTCCTGGAGTTCATTGCCGTGCTATTGGTTTGATGGAAGGTGAGGTTCTCCATGGATTTGCTCCTCAACCCATCATTGACGTGGCCTTGAGGTGAGGCAAGTTTCCCCCCCAAAGCCTGTTGTAGAACATTTCTCACCATGATCTATAAATTGCATCAAAATAGACTCACTCTACCTCCCACATAGCTCTCTCCATAGGGAGTGCACTGTGGTTGTAATACTCTACTCCCAGTCCTGATCCCCATCACCCACTCTCAACTTCATGTCTTCTGTCATGTTACTAGGCTTGGAACAGTCTTCCATCAATCATTCTCCTCCTGCCCTTCTGACTACTCCTCCCTAGAAACCACTCCTTCCATAAACTCTAGCGACGCTGATCTGCGCATGGCTCACCCTTTCCTGAACTGTGGTTCCATGTTTTGTCTTGTCTATGCTAGAGTGTAATTTTTTGTGGGAAGGACTGTCTTATTCTGCGTTCTGTAAAGTGCTGTGTTTGGATCACATTCTATTCCTTCTTCCACTGGTGTCAATCAAGAATGTCGCACTGAAGTCAATCAAATTACAAAGCTATAAGGCTGATGTGAGAAGAGAATCAGACTCTATATCTACAGTACTGTTTAAATGCTTGATAATAACAATTAGTATAATTAATTTCAGAAATGTTTGTTTAATATTGAGTTCAAATACACTTTGCTTGCGTCCTAATGCAGAAATACCAGTGCATTGTGCTGACTGATGGGAGCAGGGAAGGGAAGCTCTTAGTTCTTGTTCCTTTTTAAGTTACTAAACAAATAAAGATACACACAGGTATAGGCCAAGTTGGTGTATTGGGTTAAGATGCTAGGCATCCATTTCTGCAAGCTGGTCTGCGTAGGCTAACCATTTCACCTGCACAGAGCCCCACAGATTTCAATGGGGTCTTCCTGCATGGATCAGCTTGCAAGATCAGCAACTAACTTCTTCAGACATTGAATTTAGTCATGTGAAAATAGGTTAGTTAAATATCTCTCTCTTCAATGGGAGTTGAATGTTTTCCCTGGTGTGGGTTTATTATTTGTATTCCTGGCTCCTAGAGGCCCCAGTCATGGATCAGGGCCCCCCTGTGCTAGGTGCTGTACAAACACAGGTCAAAGGAGCTTGCAATCTAAGTATAAGATGAGACACAGTAGGTAGATACAGGCAGATGGAGGAGTACAAGTCAACAATGAGACCGTACTCATCATAGCATGATAAGCAGCAGTCTAGCCAGTGGGAAATTCTGCTAATAGTTTTAGGATTCAGCAAGGTCCTAAAGCCTGTTATATATTAAATAAAAATCAACTGAATTTTATTAAAGGAACCTTTAAAAATGTTATAGATAGAGAATACTAGGGGCTGGTCTACACTAGAAAATTAGGTTGACTTAACTATATCACTTAAGACTGAAAAATTTCACTACTGGTGTGATATAATTAAGCCAATCTAAGCCCGGGGGTAGACACCACCAGATCAACAGAAGACTTCTTCCATTGACCTACCTATTGCTTTTCGGAGAGCAGGATTTACTACAGTGACGCTGCAGGAAGCATCTACACTAGAAACACGACAGTGTTGCCATTGTGCCGCTGGAGCATTTCAGGTGTAGACGTACCGACTGTGTCCTTTCCTGTGTCTGGTTCTCTGTGGGCATACGAAGGATGTGACTGAACTGAACCCTCGTGAGAAGGGCACTAGCCAGCTCCTATGAACTGCTTGATTTTCATTCATTAGGACAATACACTGTGTCAGCCTGTACTCTCTTCTATCCCTCATATACTAACCCGTTTGCCTGTAGCTCACCTTGCAGTTGTCTTGCTTTGACGAGGCACTTTCACAATCCAGTATGTTCTGATACCTACACAAGACAGAATGTGGCACATTACTTCCTTTCTATACACTGCATTGAATACATACATTTTTTTCTTGTACAGGAAATTCCCTGTTTTTCAAAGGTCTTGGTGGGGCAGAGGGGCTCTGAAACCTTTGAAACTCAGGTTTCATGAAAAACTAATTCTGGCTTTGATATGAATTTTGGATAAAGGGATGGGTCTGAATTTGGGATTGCGACCTCCTGGTGCCAAAAGTCAGAGCGGTGCATAGGGTTACAGGGATCCCCTGGGTCTGGTATTGACATAATAATTCCTCAAAGGGTATCATGTAAAGTCTCTACTGAAAGTCTCTACCAGTGTCACACTGGTCATCACAATCGCTGTGAAATGTATGTGCAGATAATTCGTAAGGAGTCATGTATCTATATGTTCTTAAGGTCAAAGTTGGGGCTGGGTACCAAAAGGTGATAAACCAGTTTCTTTCAGTTGGGAGAAGCTTATATACCTGCCTGGCTATATGTAAACTGAGTACTATATACTTCACAAGGAACACCTATTTAAAGGCTGAACAGATGCTAACCATGAGATTGTGAAGTCTCCAGGGAAGAGTCTTTCCAGTAAAAACAAGCAGCAAGGGGTACCCTGTTTACAAGTGAACACAATGGATTGCTGGAACTATATCTGAGGGTGCAGAGGTACACCCAGGTATCCTTCATGTAGGGGACAAGCTGCCAGCTGGCTTATCTTATGAATGGATGATCACAGCTGGTCTGGCTGTTTAACCCCGTGAGAGAAACTTCGGGTGAGCTAACTTTTGTGAGACAGGAGGATGTCTTAAGTTTAGGCTCTAGAAAGCAGGGTATAATTTTACTTTACATGTAAGCCTTTGTTTCCAAATCTTTTGCATGCTACTTCTAGAATCTCTAGACTTTGTTAAACAAACTTTGACTTGTTTTCCCTGTAAGCAAATCTAAGTGCTGTGAGTTGGGTGGCGTGGTAAGCTGGGAGACACTGTTTCTTTGGGAACAGCGGATCTGTGAATTCTGCGAGTGCCCAGCGGAACAGAGGCTGGACACTCAGGGGTGTGGGGGGGATGCTCGAAGGGCTTGGAGGTTGGAGTCTGCCTTACCTGCAGAGGGACAGTGGAACCTGCTTAGGCTCAGAAGGCAGTGCTTGTGTTACCTCTAGGCTGGTGGTGACAGGGAGCTGACCCCTGGCAGGCACAGACAAGGCTTCCTCACGCTAAGGGCAGGTGGTAGCAAGGTACCTCACTACCCTGAGTACCCCGGGAAGCATCACAGGGATGACATGGAGATTTTGATATTTGAGGTACGGAGAAATGGGATTTCATAGGTTTTACAGGCAGGAGGAGCCACTGTGATCATCTAGTCTAACCTCATATACAACAGAGGCCAGACAGCTGAGTCGTGTTGCTGAGCAGTGTTGCTGCTGAGGTTGTGCTCCGAGTGGGCAAGTGTTATTGTAGGATTTATTTAATTTTGAAATAATAAACAGATGCCTCTCCAAGGCTCTAGCTGCCCTGGCATATTGTTAATACAATCCCAGCAGCATCATGGTGATCACTTTAACAGACCTTGGCCCGCCAGTCACCTAGAAACCCTTCCTCTTTGTGGGAAGCGCATGGTTAACCCTCTCCAAAAACCCTCTCCACCAAGGGGCTTTTGCAGTGTGCCTGGAAGGTCACCAAACTGGGCTATTTTAGATCAAGGTGCGGAGCAAGTTCCAGAATCCCAGAGTCCTCACAGAATATGCCCTGTTAGCTGCCGCCTCATGAGGGATACCCAGCTCGCATGCCCCGCTGACCTTAGCTATGACAGGGGAGAGAGGTAGGAGGCCCTCGTGTCCAGTTAGGGCTTGATAGGTTGTAACTGGCCCTGTTGGTTAGAGTCTGCTGCATATGAACTGTGTGTTTAAGAGTTTGTCAAGAACTCTCTGAGGGTGGACTGGAGGTTTTTTGCCACAGTTAGTCCGGATCTCAATACATCAATAATACAGAATGGTTAGTGGCATTTGGAAGTCAGCTGCTCACCTGGCCACTAATGCTGAGACAGAGTTTCTTCTTAGAGCCACTGCTCTGTGAGCTGACCTGCTCCCTGGAGAGCCAAAGGCAGCGTGAAAGGACTGAGGCTGCCTCGGCTTATCATCCCTTTCCATGCTCTCCGTACCTGCTCCAACTCTCTATCTGCTGGCAGCAGAGAAAAGAAGCAAAATCAATGCACTGTGAGTCTGTGGAAAGCCTTTGAAAGTCTCTCCAGTCCATTTATACCGTGCAGCAGTGTATATTGTGTTGGCCAAGCTCTATCTTCCATGACACCTCTGCAAACTCCTTACATCAGAGGGATTGAATGGGGGCAGCGGAAGGTCGAACATGGGGCTCTATAGATACTCTGGCATTTGATGGAGCCTGTAATGTTATCTAATTAAAATATAATTATGCAAACCATTGTTGCTACCACTGTTATATAATTGCAACGTATACAAAGTATAACACACGGCCAGAAAGGATTAAACAGCTTGCAGGCTAACTAACCCAAAGCCGACCTTTAAAGACATGTTAGAAAGTATTCAGGTTTCAGAGTAACAGCCGTGTTAGTCTGTATTCGCAAAAAGAAAAGAAGTACTTGTGGCACCTTAGAGACTAACCAATTTATTTGAGCATGAGCTTTCGTGAGCTACAGCTCACTTCATCGGATGCATACCGTGGAAACTGCAGCAGACTTTATATACACACAGAGAATATGAAACAATACCTCCTCCCACCCCACTGTCCTGCTGGTAATAGCTTATCTAAAGTGATCATCAGGTTGGGCCATTTCCAGCACAAATCCAGGTTTTCTCACCCTCCACCCCTCCCCCCCCACAAATTCACTCTCCTGCTGGTGATAGCCCATCCAAAGTGACAACTCTTTACACAATGTGCATGATAATCAAGTTGGGCCATTTCCTGCACAAATCCAGGTTCTCTCACCCCCTCACCCCCCTCCCAAAAACCACACACACAAACTCACTATCCTGCTGGTAATAGCTCATCCAAAGTGACCATTCTCCCTACAATGTGCATGATAATCAAGGTGGGCCATTTCCAGCACAAATCCAGGTTTTCTCACACACACCCCCACCCCCATACACACACAAACTCACTCTCCTGCTGGTAATAGCTCATCCAAACTGACCACTCTCCAAGTTTAAATCCAAGTTAAACCAGAACATCTGGGGGCGGGGGGGGGGAGGAAAAAACAAGAGGAAATAGGCTACCTTGCATAATGACTTAGCCACTCCCAGTCTCTATTTAAGCATTTTTGTTAGAAAGTATGTGAATGGTAATTAGGCCATTCAATGTTAGATAGGCTAGAACATTGAAATGCAAACCTATACTGTTAGAAATTAAAGGTGATACTAATTATGTGTTTACTTATTAATCTTGTTAAATGTTAGCCATGTAAACCGACAGTTCCTGTCTGTCTCTATAGCTATTGATTCAGAGATCAAAAGGGAATATTAACATTTAGATGAATCTTGGGTGAAATAATGTCATTGTCTATATGTCTCTTTGAAGTTTGTGATAGACTGCTTAATGGATAAATTATCTTATGTGAATCCTTGTAGTTAATTACCGGTGAGGTTTAGAAAACAGAAGATTACATCAAAAGCCTGTTGTTTAGCTAGGACTGTGTCGTCAAGCAAAACTGTAAAAGAGATCCTTGGGTCCTGATCCTGTCATCTCAGATCTGCTTAAGGTTTCATGCAGGGGAAGCCTAAACTATAAGGATTGAGATCCCAGTCTTAAGATCGAACACCCTTAATATGATATTGGACATTGGCCTATAACCTATGGACTAAATTCTAAAAGAACTCTTTGCAACTACAAAGCTGACCATCTCTGCTATGAATCTGAACCTCAAGAACTGAACTCATGTCTGTATGTATATTGATCTTTTAACCATGCTCTCTCTCTTTTCTTTTTTAATAAATTTTAGTTTAGTTAATAAGAATTGGCTGTAAGTGTGTATTTGGGTAAGATCTGGAATATTCATTAATCTGGTTTAATGTGTCCGATCCTTTGGGATTGGTAGAACATTTTTCTGTGATGAATAAGATTTTCATTAATCCTCATCATATCTGACTTGGGTAACTAGGTGGAGGCATAAGGCTCGGTTACTTTAAAGGAACTGTGTTGTTGACTTCTGAGTAACCAGTGGGGTAATAAAGAATCTGTTTAATGCTGGCTTGGTAAATCTAAGTATTGGACTATCCACCAGTTTTGGAGGATTGCCTGCCTCATTCTTTGCAGTTCACCCTAATTGAGCGACCTCAGCTGGCTCCCCCCGGGACCCCAGTCACAGGGCAGAAACATCATAGGAAAGATGAAGCGCTCTCTGATACTACCACGGTATGTGCAGCTTGTGATGGGGACCATCTTGTTAGACCCAGTCCGCTAGTGGTCAGAGCACTGGCTAGCCATAGTTGGCAGTAGTGCTCAGTGGTTCAAGTCCAGGGAGTTGATGGTAGGGGAACCTGGGCCCTCTCACTCCTGCAGGTTCCAACCCAGGGTCTGGGGGCAGGCAGTTCAGGTATGTGACCTGGGCTAAGGTATCACCCAGCCTACTACCATCTCTTGGCCTCTCCTGAGGCCTGCTGCAGGCCTGGCTTACAGCATCCCCCCAGGAGAGGGTTAAGAGATTCCCTTCCCCACTCACGAGCAGCTACTCCACTGTCTCTTCTGCAGTGGCTAGCGGCTTTGAGTGGAGGGCGGTGCAGAGCTCCTTGCTTGCATGATCACTCTGACTGAGTGTGCTGCGCCTTTTAAACACACCTCCAGTGAGAGCATTCCCACCAGGCGCGGCTGTGTGGAGCTTCCTGTGACCAGATCTGCTCCTTAACCCCCTGTTCCCCAGAGTGGGGTTTGTACACCCCATCACAGGCTTACAGTTCTGATTCAGGAAAGCAGGTCAGCATGACTTAAGCACGTGCTTCAAGTTAATTCCACCTGCTTAAATTCTGCCTTGGTGAAGGATGATTTTCTGAACTGGGGCCTCAGTGCACAGTGAGGGTGGCTATAGATGCATGGAAATGAGGAGGAAAATACAAAAGTTCCTTTGCCTAGCTTGGCTATGCACCCCAAAGTGTGAATCCTCATCCAACCCCTGGTGTTTAGAGAAACAGCTACACTAGAAACAGCTACACTTTAAATCAGATTAAAGGGAGCAGGGAAAGAGGGAATTGACAGAGAAGGGAGAGACCTGGCAAAGGCTGGGATATTGTGCATACTCTATCCAGGCTGCCTGCTTGTAAATTACAAAGTAAATTACAGGGAGAAAGTAAAAATAACTCACCCTTGGAGTTTTCTCCACCAGGAGACATTTGGGTTGAAATTCTGGCCCTGGCCCGATTGAAGTCGGTGGCAAAACTCCATTGACTTCAGTGGAGCCAGGATTTTCCCCTTTATGTCTGTCTCTCTTGAATCCATGTGGGAAAGGTTTTTCAAATTTTGGGAAATGCTACTAATAAAAAATATAGTATTTGTACGGTACCTACTAGTGTGCTAGGCACGGCAAGGGTTAGAGGCAACATTGATTAAACTAGGACAGTGCTCGCTTTTTTCATTCTTTGCGACATTAACTTTTAAAAAGTAAAATCCAGCTCAAAGGTGCTCTTTACGTCAAATTTAAGTCTGATGCAGGAGCTAGGTTTTTTCAGTCTCTCGCTACTGGAACCCTATTGGATCTTCATGTCCATCCCTCTGCCAGAGTAGGCTAGAGAGCCCCTAATGAAGACATACCAAAGACAGAGAGTTCTTTATCATTACAAAAATAAACTACTTTAATGGAAGTTTTGTGTCTGTATCGGAGGGCACAATTTGGTCTAGTACCAATGGATCCTTTAGTCCCAGTGTTATGTGAACTTCCAACTTCCTCTCCTTAACTGAGGTGGTAAATGGAGGAGGTGATATTTAGCATTTGTATGCCTCTGCTGCCATAAATATGTCTGTCTAGTTTAATGTCTGTTAACTAGATATGGCTGTATTCAAGCCCCAAGAGTAGCAAAAGTATCAGGCACTGGTCTATAGATCATTAAACTGATATTTCAATATGTACTGAACCTTCTGGGCCCTGGTTTTTGAATGGGTCCTCTGGACATTGCTCTCACAGAAACAATAACTGGCTGCAGTTTGTGTGTAAGTTATTTATTTACAATGAAAATTCACAATACGAGACTGTGGAGAAACTGAAACCATTCCTACATTAGATTTTCACGTTAAAACTCCCCACTTTGTTTGCAAACTGTATTTCAGTAGCCATTTGCATTCTACAAAAGAATAGCCTGGCCAAGATTTTCGAAAGAAACTAGTGATTTTGGGTGCCCAACTGAAGAAACGTTAAAGGACCTGATTTTGGTGGTGCAGCACTTTCTGAAAATCTGTCCCCTTCAAGGCCCCTCAAACTGGGTCCCCAAGGACTGGGGCACCCAAAGCACTAGTCACTTTTGAAACCTTTGGCCACGACATTTTCCGTTTCACAGGCAAGGATGTTTCAATTAAAAATCATAGACCGTTAGAGAAGGAAAAGACTTAACAGATCATTAGTCCCATCTGCTGTGGGCCAGTCTGGGGTTAGGCCATACTGTATACTGTTGCAGTGCATTATATCTAGTTTTAAATGACTCACAGTGCTGGCCCTTTAGAAGATCATTCTACAGCCGGATCCCACCATTAGGGAAATGTTTCCTGAGATTCAGCTGATATTTCCCTTTTCTTAATTTCAACCCATTACTCCTACTTTACTTACCTTTCTAGAACACCCTAAACATTTCCCATATGAGCAATGCAGCCCCCCAGCTGACAAGAGTACACAGTAATTTCTAGGCTGAGTGCATTCAGCTTTCTGCAGTCCCATCACAGCACAGAATAATAGTTCTCGGGAGAATTCAGAGTTAAGTCACTTACTTGCTAGAATGCTGGTCTGAGCCCGGGATATGACTCTGCCATATAATTTGTTCCTTGATGTTCCTTGCTACCATGCAGCTGATTCCTTATTCCCATCCACTCGCTTTGGTGCTAGGAACTTAGGTGGGCAAAGTCCCCCAGCAGGACTCCAATTAAATATTAAAAGTAAGTGGTGAGAACAGGGTCACCACGACTCAGAGAGCTGGCATCAAAGAGCAGAGGAGCATGGCTCCCACCAGTCCTTGTGAGGCTGTTTCCCCCTCAGAAAGTCTTTTACTTAGAAAAACACTGGGGCTAATCCAGATTTCAGCAGAGCTGGTTGGAACATTTTCACCAAAACGTGCTGTCTTGTTAAAGCATTTTGCAGCCATGTATCAGTCTGAGCATCAGAGTCAGACACGCAGCCACTCTAGAGGCTGGTGGCTAGGGTACATGTTATGTACCGAATTGCATACGGAGGAGAGGTGGCTTACTATTGGAGGAACAAGAGCACCGAGAACAGGCTGATCCAGAGGGTGACAGATGTTTGCTCTGCCATACAAAGCAAAGAAAGAGTCTTAAAAAGATTATGAGGAGGGAATAAACCGCTGGCCATTGTTTACAGTAGCAACTTAAGGATCCACTCGGGATCAGAGCCTCTACAGTGCTCTGTGTTATATATAGACATAGTAAGGACTGGTATAGAGGACAAAGTTGGGGTTCACGCCCTGTGCGATGTAATTAAGCCGACCTATGCCCCAGGATAGACACCACTCGGTTGACGGAAGAATTCCTCAGAGAGGTGGATTTACTACAGTGACGGAAGAACCCCTTCCTCCCATCATGGAGTAATCGCCCTCTCCACAGCAGCGCCCAACTGCCACACTGTAGCCGTACCGCTGTAGCGTATCTAGTGTACACATCCTCTACGAGATAGTTCTTGCCCAGAAGAGCTTGCAGTCTAGGCAAGACAGATGGATTGTGGGAGAAAAGGAAGAAATATTATCCTCATTTTACAGATAATACCCAGCTCTTATATAGCCCTTTTCATCAGTATATCTCAAACTCCTTTACAAAGGCGATCAATATCATTATCTCCATTTTACAGATTGGGACATGAGGCACAAAGAGATGGAGTGACCCGCCCACGGCTGCACAAGAAATTTGTGGCTAACTCAGGACTTAAACCCACATCTCCTGAGTCCCAGTCTAGTGTCTTAAACCCATTGTAAGGGAGTGCTAAACTGTATTGTACCATTCAGCCACTAACTGGCACTGTGTGTAAAATACCTTATTTAACTGAACCTCAGCCGTACCTAGCAGAGCATTAAAAGATCTTATGATGAACACATCGTGTGTGTGTACGCAAGCTCTGTAGACTGTCCTTATGTGGTACAGAAATACATGACACACACGACCATCCTTCTTCTCAGGTCTGCGTACAAGACTTGCCCGGCTGTGTACTTGTGCGGGAAGTGATCTGCTAAGGACAAGCTATGGCACTTGGGAAAACTGCTCTTTGTCTAGCCTCCAGAAATAACACAAGTGTTGTTCTTTCTCTGCAGCGTGGGGCACGGGTCACTTGCTGGTTTGAACCAGAGTAAATGGCGGATTCTCTGTTACCTGAAGTCTTTAAATCAGGATTTGAGGGCTCCGGTAACTCAGCCAGAGGTTAGGGGCTGTAGCAGGAGTGGGTGGGTGAGGTCTGTGGCCTGCAATGTGCAGGAGGTCAGACTAGATGATCACGATGGTCCCTTCTGGCCTTATAGTCTAAGTGTCGGGGGAAGTTGAGATTTGAGGGTGAGAAGCTTAGAGGAGAGAAGCGGGGTGAGTGAGAAATGGAGGGGTCAGGGGTGGGAGGCCAGGGTGAGAGCAGAGATGATGGGCTGTTCAGAGCTGCTCAAGCTTACCAAGGGCAGAGTTCCACCTACTGGGTTCACTGGTTGTGTAACTCTTAATAGCTCACCGAATTGCAACTAACTAGAAATTGCAGCAAGCAGCATTTCAAATTCACTTCGATTCGTTGATAGCTAGCTTGCTGAGCTGCCCAAAGGAGCAATCTCCCTCTCTTGGATTTATTGCCATATGCCGCAGGAATAGACACCAGGTTAGTTCTGAGCAGAGTGCACCAAGCAGGAGTTCAAAAGTGGGCATGTCTTGCAAGGCCTTCAAAGCCTGCCACCGCTCCGGCTGCCCTGTGGTACTGCAAGAGTAAAGACCCGACAAGAACGGTCCTGCCCCAAACCAGCCAGTTTTCCCAACGTCGTCCCAACAGACGTCAAGGTCTGTTGCTTCTCTGGAGAGATTTTGCACAGCAGTGAAGAGCCACTCTTGATGATGCAAAATACTCTTGTGAATAGATTGCTCTTGCAGGTCTAAAACAAAACGATGACCAGGCCTTATGGGTAGGCTGGGCCCAAAAAGAATTAATTGAAATGATCCACTAATTGTGAGGGCTTTTAGGAAGGGCAGTGGTCTCTCCAGTTGGCTCTCACATGGGGAACTGTAGACAAAATATAACAACTGAAGTCAGAATTTGTAAATTGTAACATCTCTGCTCTTCCAAGAAGCAAGATGGGATCTCATATGATCATGAACACTGTGGGCCTTGGTCCCAAAATATAAATGACATTCTGTGAAGTCCTTTCTGTGGGTTTATTCTTCTCAGTCTGGAGAGATCAACAAACAACAAAGTCAGTGCTTAAATAAGGACAGTGAATACTGAATTTGCAAAGGGCAGTTTATAATGGCCAAAAATTGCCACATTTATCATCAAAAGATTCTTTGAGCTGGAAAATCATTACCCAGAAATGTGTACGCTGAAAAAGAAACCTTTGACACCAGGCTTGAGCCAGTGAGTGAGTGCAAATCAGAGAACTGGGTACATAAACTGACAGATGACCCAAACTGAGAGGCTGAGCAGTTCTTTCCTCTGTGTGTTATTACTCTATAGAATAACATTTTGTACATTTCTATAGAGCCTGATCCAAAGCCCACTGAAGTCAATAGAAATGATCCCTATGTATCTTCTATCCAAGGATCTAAAAAAACACTTTATAAACATCAATAAACTTAGCTCCTCAGCTCCCACGAGGTAGGTAAATATAATGAGACCCATTGTATGTTGTTATTACTAATCATGTTTATTACTGTAATGCCTAAGGGCCAGCCAAGGATGAGGCCCTGTTGTGCAAACACAGAATAATAGACAATCCTTGCCCTGAAGCGCTTACAATCTAAATAGACCAGCCACACACAGGGGAGAGAGGGGGGTAGAACACACCTGCAGAAGTGATCAATGTGGTGGCAGTAAATGGCATGTTGTGCCATGACTTTAAAGATATATTTCTGGTCGGGTTATTTTAGAGGTAGAGGGGACAGGGCCGGGGAGCAAAGGGTCAGGGGGGCAGGTGCGGAGTGAAGCTGAGGAGAAGAGACTCTGGACGAGGACTGGCATAAGTAGTCAATCAACACAGCGCAGAGAAAGTCCAGGGTAAAATCTGCTTCCCTATTTTAAAATTGGAGGTTGTCATTTTAAATTTCAGGGGGGTTCCTAGTCCTGCTCTCAGGCTAGGGGGCTCTTTAGGAAAGCAAGCCCCTGCTTGGGCCTCAAAGTGGTCAGTTAGTAGACAGCTAATCTAGAGTAAGCTGGGATGAGTTGTGCAGCTCAGTTTTTAGGGAGCAGCCTGCTTTGTCTCTCTCTCTTTTTGAGTTCTTACATGGGTTATCATTCTGAATTCTAAGAAACAAGTAGTGTTACATTTCAACCTGCCAGCAAGAGTATTCTATGTTTTAATCTAACTTCTCTATTCTAGGTAATGAAGCCTAATAACTCTGTGCCTCAGTTTCCCCATCTGTAAAATCAGATAATCATACTGATGTCCTTTGCGATATATGGATGAAAAGCACTATATAAGAGCTAGATGTTATTATTAGATCTAGCCCATTAGCTTCTAGCCCATTAGTTCCTATTACATTATTTATAACTGTCTCACTGTTATCTTGTACTCCCCCATCTGTCTATCGTCTCTTGTCTTACAGTTAGATTGTAAACACTCTGGACAGGGACTGTCTTGTCATTACATGTATGTACAGTGCCTAGCATAATGGGGCCTTAATCTCTGACTCAGGCCTCCGGGCACTATTGTAATATAAATAATGTGTCCTATTTTACTGATTATTTGACATAGCTCCGCTAGGTCAGGTGGGTGCTTGATGGAGAAGTGGTCTGAAGACAACTTTCTGTTTCTGAAAATTTTACAATGCTAGGCCCTAATACCACTATCAGCTGTACATGGAGAGAAGGGCCAGTATGGCCTTGTGGATAGTTCACTGGACTCAGATTCAACAGAGCTGCAGTCTCTCCCTGTCTCTGCCACTGGCCTGCTGGGTGGCCTTGGGCAAGTCACGTCATCCCTCTGTGCCTCAGTTTCCCCATCTGTAAAATGGGGTTAATGATACCTCCTCCTTTGTAATGTGCTTTGAGATCAGATATAAGTTGGGGGAGGGGGAATAGTGGTGTTCAGTGATCACACTAAAAGAAAAGGAGTACTTGTGGCACCTTAGAGACTAACCAATTTATTTGAGCATAAGCTTTCGTGAGCTACAGCTCACTTCATCGGATGCATACTGTGGAAACTGCAGAAGACATTATATACACAGAGACCATGAAACAATACCTCCTCCCATCCCACTCTCCTGCTGGTAATAGCTTACCTAAAGTGATCACTCTCCTTACAATGTGTATGCACATAAGGAGAGTGATCACTTTAGGTAAGCTATTACCAGCAGGAGAGTGGGGTGGGAGGAGGTATTGTTTCATGGTCTCTGTGTATATAATGTCTTCTGCAGTTTCCACAGTATGCATTCGATGAAGTGAGCTGTAGCTCACGAAAGCTTATGCTCAAATAAATTGGTTAGTCTCTAAGGTGCCACAAGTACTCCTTTTCTTTTTGTGAATACAGACTAACACGGCTGTTACTCTGAAACCAGTGATCACACTGTTTACATGTTTTCCATATTTCCAGAGAGTTTCAGCTCTGATGGGGCTTTTAACTACTCCGTTCTTCCACTCAGGCTATTTCCTGGTTCCTTTTGACTCCTGGTACC